CATTATGCTTCTACACTGATACACTATACGGCGAAAAGAGGGTTTATGTGACAATTTTAGTGTTCAATTATTACTGTTACAAAAACAAATATTGTAAAATAAAAATAAAAGTTATTGGTAGAACTGCATAGGCAGACTACTTGGACATAGGTGGATAGCGCTAATATGGGCAGGACCGATATTATTACAGCTCTAAGACTTCGATCGAGACACATAACAATGAACAGCATTGTATTTTTGATGGGAAAGGTCGAATCCTCTAACTGTACAATGTGCCCAGAGGATGTATTGCATATTTTGGTGGAGTGTGTTATTCGTATCGAGGCTGAAACAGCAAATGTTTGCAGTAAATATAATGTAAATAGATTAGATGTCGGATTTTGTAACAGTATTCTGGTTGCGCCACTGTCTGAGGAAGCCAGAATGTTGTACTAAATGGTCCAAGTTGGACTTAAAATAAGATAAAAAAATGTAAATACAATGAGGGTGACATTATAATCTTTATATATAAAAATTACGTGTCACATTGTTTGTCCGCGATGAATCCCTAAACTATTGAACTAATTTCAATGAAATTTGGACACAGTGTGCAGTTTAGTCCAACTTGAGAGATAGGATAGTTTTTATCCCGATAAATGACTGAATATGTATTTTGGAAAATTCAAGGATTTTTATAGGACGGAGGGTCGCCGCAAAGGCCAGAACAACGTCTGCCTGGCCAGCTAGTAGTTTTATAAAACCCTCTTTAAAAACATAAAAGATTTAAAAAAGAAGTACTTGACATTTTTGCTCCAGTTTGTTTTATTGAACGAATAGCAAGGCTTTACCAAGAGTTTATACGTGGTGAGCCATGCTGCAGCTATATTACTGGTATAGTTGAAACGCGATTATGTCGGCTCGACCGGGGAAGGATCACGCTCCCACAGAATACCAGCATAAAATAGCAGACTAAAATACTTGACACGAATATTACTTTATGAATCCATACTACTATAATTATTCCAGGTCTGAATGTTTGTCCTTGTGAATTTTATGTATGTGAACTGCCCCCCCCCCTCTCCCCCTCCCCCCTCCCCCCTCCCCCCACGATACAGGAGAAAATCCTAGTGTGGAGGTAACGTTTAAAAAAATAAAAAGAAAAAATACTACGCATAGACTTAGGATTGTATATTCTAACGCTCGACAACTGATGCCGGTGTTGAGCTGATTAAATATATCTTTAATGCATGGGAGAATTCACAGGATGCTTTGGGTATATTTTGTGACCTATCCAAGGCCTTCGATTGTGTTCACCATGAAACATTAATCAGGAAACTTCAACACTACGGTGTAAGAAGTGATGCCCTTAAATTAATTATTTCATATTTAAGTAAGAGAACGCAAAAAGTTGTCATTAACAATATGAGCCCTTCCGGATCGATGGTACAAATGGGCGTGCCTCAAGGCTCAATTCTCGGCCCCTTTCTGTTTCTTGTATACATTAATGACTTACCTTACATAGTAGGGGATAACCATGATATAGTATTATTTGCAGATGACACTTCTTTAATTTTCAAATTAAGTCGACAGTTACTAAAATATGACGAAGTAAATAATGCTATCTCTAAATTAGTAAATTGGTTCGATGTTAATAATTTGCATTTAAATGGCACTAAAACAAAATGTATGAAATTCGTTACTCCAAATGTCAAACAATTAAATACTAATGTAATTTTAAATGGGGAGAAACTGAGTCTTGTAGATACCACCATTTTTCTTGGAATCACACTAGACGCGAAGCTTCAATGGAGCCCCCATATATCAAAACTAGCAAGCAGACTTAGTTCTGCAGCATATGCTGTAAAAAAGATTAGAAGTTTAACCAGTGTTGAAACAGCTAGACTAGTTTACTTCAGCTACTTCCATAGCATAATGTCGTATGGTATTTTGCTATGGGGACACGCAGCTGACACTGAAATTATATTTGTTTTGCAGAAGAGGGCCATAAGAGCAATTTATGATTTAAAGCCTAAAGAGTCGCTGCGACAAAAATTTAAGGAAATTAATATATTAACTTTGGCCTCTCAATACATTTATGAAAATGTAATGTACGTACACAAAAATAAAAGTAGTTTTACAAAAATAAGTGATATTCATTCTGTAAATACTAGGAACAGACACAAGCTAGTAGTACCAGTTACTCGACTCCATCGAGTCAGTAATTCATTCTTGGGGCGATGTATACGCTTTTACAACAAAATTCCAGAAAATATACAAAGTTTGACCTGTTCAAAGTTCAAAAACTTTATTAAACTAAGATTGTATAAAAAGGGTTATTATAATATTAAGGAATTTATGGATGATAATAACCCCTGGAAATGAGGTGATCGCTACCAAGCTATTTCTAATTTGTTGTGTTGTTAATTTGTGTAACATCATGATTGTAAGCTGTTATTTAAAAAAAAAAGTCCCGCTGGGTTTCTTGCTGGTTCTTCCCAGGACAGAGGTTTTTTCCGAACCAGTGGTAATCAAACAAAAGAGTGACTTTCAATAAGTATTATTTATAATCTATATTGAATAAAAAAGTTTCTGTTTCTGTTTCTGTTTAAGTCTATGATGGTAACTATATCAAAGACAATTACAGCACAGATAAAAATAACTTGGAACAAATTAAAATCGCTAATATACTCGTCGTCCTGCACTATGCGAATCAATGTGGAATTAGGCCAGAGTTTTGTAGCAAATAATTTTTATGAGTATTTCTCACAAATACGCTGCAAATCATAAGAAATGTGATATGGAAGTAAGTCACTTCAATCACCGGCAACGCGCACAATTGTACAGTTTTGTATTAAAGTGAGGTAAATCGGACAATCTTTGCTTGATTTCCCGAACGTGGCTTTGCGTTTGACCTCTTGGTCAAAGTTGGCTTACCTCGTCGGATGTTTTGTACCAGGTAACGACAAAAGGTTTTTTTTTTTTATAGAAATAGGGACACAAACTTGCACACAGTCCAGCTGATGGCAAGTGGTTGCTGAGGCCTATAGACATCTACATCTCTCCTCGTTTGCTAATCAAAATGCAGATGCGTTGTCACCCGTGAGGACTAAGATGGAATGCCTCGTTTCCAGTAAAAATTGTCTCCGGTTCTCTACACTCACCATACGAAACATATCACCATTAAGCTGCTATTTTACGCTGGTATTCTGAGAGGGCGTGGCCCTTCCCCGGTCGAGCGGACCCATACGTGCTACAACAACTACGTACTATAAATATAGCTGCAGCTTGGCTCTACCACGTAATGGGTTTCCAAACAACTTCAAGCGTAGTTTTCCTACAACCGTAATTTTCCCGATATAAATGTAGCATGGGCTAAAGTAAATAGGTAGTAAGAAGACCTTATTAGACATGCAAAACAGCAAGTGTGGTCGAATAGTATAAGTAACGGGGCTGTCGAAAGTACCTCGAAATGGTTCGTGTTATATTCCACACTGCCAGGGCCTCGCTCTTTTCTTTTCCGATCACTAACACACTGCCGCGAGTTTAACACTAGATTATGACAGAATACAAATATAAAGTTCTAGCTGTTCCCCGCGACTTCTCCCGCGTATAATTTTTTTTTTTGCGCGAATCCCTAAAATAAAAGTAGCCTAAATTACACCTTATAACATCAGTTATCTGCCAGTGATAGTCCCATCCAAATCGGTTCACAGGTTTATGCGTGATGCGTGTTCACGCCAAAATAGTTCACAAATGACAGATTTTTTTCAGACTTACCCAAACATAATATATCATTATATTTTGGCCAATTTACACAATATTTTTATGAATATAAGTTATATTATTGTAAAATTTCATTAAAATCTACTCAGTAGTTTCGGGCGTGAAAGAGTAACAAACGTCCATATATCTTCACAAACTTTCACGTTTATAATATTAGTAGGATAGTAGGACTAGTAGGTTCAAAGTATCCTTTTGTGATGAAGTAAACGCTAGTAAATGCATATAAGTTGGGAGACGATCTGTAATAATATTTGATAACACAATAATTTAAAAAATATGATGCGCTTAAAAATAGAACCTAAATATTTTCGTTTCGGGTTGGTTTTATTTATGCGCGTGTCTCTGTCACTGTATACGAATGTACAAGTACCTCTGATTCATCGCATAATTTTTATACGTATTGAGCGTAGGGGTAACACTCAGCAGTTGTTATTAAAAGTTTTACGCTTTACATAGCAGGAAGTCTGCCACGTATGATAGAATTTTTTTCTCAGATGAGCACAGTTTCCCAAGGATTTTTTTCTTCACCACCAAACGTTTATTTAATAATGTATGATGTATATTATAAAAGGTAACGTAACACAATACATATTATTTTTATTTTCATTACATGAAAAGCCATCTACGATGAAAAATAAGAATAAACTTGCACTTGGAAGACATAACTCGAATTTAAATTAGTAGAAACAAACATATAATGTTTAAATAAAAATATAAAATATACAAAATGTCCGGAAAAGTTAAAAAATTATTAATTATATATATAGCCTCAGGCTAACAAAGAAATAAGTGACGCCGAAACCATGCTCAACTTCTTAACACATCTTTCTTCTTTCATACTTTATCAGCCCGTATAATACCACTGCTGAGCGCACATACATGCACCTAAAATCATGTTGTTTGTTGCAAATGATTTTAGATACTTATGTGCATGTTCTTAAAATAAGTTGAACATGATTATGGCAGGTTACAGGGTCACTTAAAAAGTACGTAGAACTTTTCTACGTACTTTTTCTCTCGTCTATATTTTTTGTTGATTTGAGATTATAGATATATAAATTAAATATATTCCATTTGAAAAACCCATATCATATCTACATTAAATTAAATCCCATATAAATCCTTACACACATAGAAATTATTTATGTGGATATAACTGAGTTACGACTGGCATAGATGATACCAGTCTTTAAATCTTTGAATTCTTTTAAAAATAGAAATGATGAAACATTACTCACTGCGATGTGGGTGCGTCATCACGATGGCGAGAGGGCATTCGTCGTCTTCCAATATGTACTCCGAGTTATCAGCCGTATCCACCTTTTAAGAATAAATATTTGGGTTCATATTATTATAATCACATAGATATTATGTACAGAGTTAAATCTTAATTGCAAATAACACTAATACTGAGCAGCCGTGGAAATTTAAAAGTTGAGCGCTTGCTGTAAATTTCAGACTTCGCAGTTAATCGTAGTTCGATCCGAACCGGCGCCAATGAAATTGTTAAATATTATTTTAATAAGAGAGAAGAGAGATGATTTTCCACGTGCTCGGCAGCGATGGAAACATCTTGAAGAATTACATTTGTCTTGAGTGCTTCAAAATTTTACATTTCTATTATTAATTACTATTGAAGGCGCGCACTCAATTCAAATTTACAAATAAGTACACCTATACAACACAATGATTGTAACACCACAAAATATACGGCAGGGTAATAATTGTTAATATTGTGCAGGATGTATGTCAAGATCTACATTGCCTAATAATCAGCTAGAAATCGCAGTCAACTTTTGGTTTAAAAAAGGTGTTTCTTTACCATATACCAAAAGTCCATAGCTGGACATGGACCGCTGCCATTGCAGGGAGACTTTGCCTCTATTTTGAGCATTTGATTGGCGATTGCAGTACGAGACGTCTCGCACTTTTGTCGCTGGTTTGGGTATTTAAACCTGATTTAACGCTATACCGCTTTTTATTTGGAGCCTTAACATGTTTCTAGCATTCCCATAGTCGCCTCTTATGATCTCTACGGGATAAACGGTGTGATGAATTCTCTTGAAATGAAAACAAACAGTTTATCTGCGAATAATAATACTACTATATCAATATTTGTACACATCTCAATGTCATAAGTGCTAAGTGCGTTATAGGAGATCACCGCGCGATTTATTCCCGCGTGAATTTCCTTTTCCGTAATTATCCATACCAGCCGTCATTGCGTGCATTTCGCATTTCTGTTTCGCAATACAAATTCATACATAGAGGTCCACGGAGACAGAAAGTAAAAACAGATATCCGAAACTTCATTAACTGATGAATACATCGTTGCATATAATATTTAACAAAATAATAACATCAACACTGAATTTATATATTTATAGTTTTGATGATACCCACGAAACGATGTTTTGTATGAAAAATATTATGCAGGCAAGACAGAATTGGATCAGGAATTCTTTTCGCCGTGGCTTTTAAGAAGCAGAGGCAGCTTCAGCAGAATTTGTTTATTTAATATAAATAACTTATTTTAGTCATTTACAGTTTTTCACCATTGGTACGAAAAATAACTTTGTTCAGTAAAGTTCAATCTTGTCAGCCTCGAGCACAGGCGCAGAGTAACCAGTCTCTCGGTATTCTATAGGATGCATGTCGGTGAGTGTGCGCAGGAATTATGTTTTAATTCATCCGTCTCCTTTCCACCATCGGACAACCAGGCTGTTGATTTGTTGTCGATATTCCTCGCATTAGAACCAAACGGTTTGCTTTGTTATTTGTAATGCGTACAGCAAAAGAATGTAATAATTTGCCGGCGTCTATCTTTCCGTCCGAATACAATCTGGGCGTCTTCAAGGCAAGTGTGAATAGGCTTTTGTTACGATAAGACAGTGCGATTTACCATCTAAGGCTGCATCACCACTTACCACCAGCTGGGATTGTGGTCAAGCACTGGCTTATAATAAGTAAAAAAAAAAACAGTAAGAATATATAATATGTACCATGTTGTATCATTTTATTGTACAAATCCCATCAGAAATAGCCTTAAATTTTTGTCTTAGAACCCGTTTCTGCAAAACAAATATAGTTTTAGTTTCTCCATAGCGAAATAAGATACGATAATATACTATGTAGATAACTAGAATAACATATTCTGGTTGTTTCCGCGCTAGTAATACTTGTAATACTTCAATCTTTTTTACAGCATACGCTGCTGTACAAGTTTTCTTGTATCAAGATTAGGAAACTTGATGCAAGAACATTTTTTGTTCAGCACTTTGTTTTGTACATCGAATTAATTTATAAGTAATTTTTTTTTTAAATTTTGGGATTACAATTGCATTTTAGGGACAATCTGGGATGGTTTGCTATCTCTTTCATCCACCCAGGCCTCACACGGGTTATTTCTGGATCTCGTCAGCAGCGCTTCGTACCGGCCCGAACTATAGTTAAGAATCATCCAGGTAATTTCATAAGTACTCGATAAAAATTTCATTAAAATCCGTTTAAAAAAAGTTTTAAGAACAACTATTTTTATAAATACTACGTGTTCAGTGATGTGTGTAAGCAGCGGGGATGAAGTCGCGGGTATCAGTTTGTTTTATTTTATATATAAATATAAAGCCATTTATAAAAAAATGCAACATTTTCCGATTGAAACCGTAAATGCGTAATAGTTTTTGTATCGAAATATAAAATGGAGGGCCATACCTGCACTATGCAGTAGTGGTGCGGCTCGTGGCGCGCCAGGCCGTACTTGTCCAGCACCTCGCGCACCACCGCCGCCGCGCCGTCGCCCACCGACAGCAGCAGCGTCTTGTACGGCACGTCCGGGCTCAGCGACGACCCGTAGATCTTCAGCGTGCCGCCTGAACATCACAAACCCTCACCGTCACCGTCAGCTGACAAACAATGTTCTCCTGACCGACATCGCGAATATACAGTGAGCCCCCGGTAATCCGACCCTTGGATAACCCCCCCCCCCCCCTCCGTAATCCGACATGCTGTTAACATGTAGGTACAATCGAGTCGCGTTATGAATCCGCCACGGGGGGAGGTGTCCTTCACTTAAGATAACTCATAACATTGATCATGAAGTAATTGATGATCCTAATGAAAATAATATGTCATAAGCATGAAATTATTGAATTGTCATCGGTTCCTTATGCTTTCTCAAATTTCAGATCATTCAACCTGGAAGCGGGTGAAAATTGAATTATAAAATTCCATTGCATTCATACATAGACAAATACGTACAGGTCAAGCTAATATTAAGACCCATAAAAAGGAATATTTCTGCCGATATGCTCATAATTCATAGAGGTTTTGTATATGAAACAGACGTGACTTAAAACTTTCTCCTTTGTTTACTCAAAAAGGCGCAGTACGACCATTTAATAGATTTAAAACTAATTATGTTCAGACAGTGAGACCAACACCAGACACTTTTATTTTAACACACGAGGTGCGATTACAATTTTGATTATGACAATAAGAAAGGAAGCAGTATTTATTATTAGCACATGAAAACCACAACTAAATTTTCCTATTTTCCAAACTTTTTCTAGAAATGATAACATGTTTTAAAAACAATATTTAACACTTTAACATTACAAAGTTTATTAAAAAACAATAACATAACATTCAAAATAAAAAGCCCCTGCAAAATATGTATTTACTTTTTACTCCCTAGAGCAACATCATAACAAAATAGACGTGTATATATTGTGAACGCTGAGTAAGCAAGCTTAAACTTACAATGCAGTTGTTACAAATCATTGTTATGAAAATAAAGCAGTTTCAAACAAAATAAATTCGCCAAAGCTACGTTAGTTTTGAGAAAAAAAAATATTTTTTATAATACATAATGTGGTCATAAGTTTCTTATTAGTGAATAAGTGGCAGAGCCACGCTGCAGCTATATTATGGTTATATATTATAGCACAACGCATCTGTATTTTGATACTTAACCGAGGATAAAAATTTAGCTGTCTATGGGCCACAGCATCCACTTCATATCAGGTGGACTGTGTGCCTGTTCGTCACTTTTATTCTATAAAAAGGTGGAATATACAAAATTGTTGTCCAAAAGTAATTCGCAACTTCACCTACGTGCAGGATACTCTGTCTTTGGCGACGAAGACCAACTAATCAAAAGAAAAACCATTCAAAAATGCCAAACTCAAACCTCACACTCAGGTAATGGAAAGCAGCATTACGAGTCTCGGTTTTTGTTGTTGTTTGGAGTATGGGCAACACTTTCAAGCAATACACATGCTTGATGGCGCATTATTGAAAGCTGATACTAAAATAAGCTTTCTCGTTACATTTACAAAACATTTTAATTTCATATTAAAATATTTTCCAAAAAAAAAAACAATATACTCCAGGATTAGTGAAGTGATATATTTATTGTAATTTATTCAATAATAACATTTTATTAGTATGTAATAAAATAATAGAGGCAAGGTGTCTTTTTGGTGACCCTCATATCATTGAAACAATAACGGTTGTTTCACTGATTTAACAATAATAAAACGCTTTCGAAATAACTATCGGTTTTCGATAACATATTGCATATTATCTTAAGTTTTTTTCGATGTATCCAGATATCAGGTATAATGATAACTTATTCTGTACTGATTTGTAGTATGCTCTAATAGAGCATGTTTTTTTTATTATTGCAAGCAAACGGAAATGATTAACTAATGTTCGGGCATTATAATTTTTTTCGGATTGTCTATGGACACTGCACTAACGACATCTCGCGTTCGGATCTCGAGACCATCGTGTGGTTCGGCGGCGCGCACGTACGCCTTGTTCAAATTCAAAAGGTTCGCAGTACGCGCTCATAATTAAAATATATCCTCTTAAATGGTTGTTCCGATAACTTTGTACATACATTACATATACAGAACATTCGGTTGTATTTTGTAAATTCAAGTATATTTTGCAGTTTATAACCACCATTCTGGTGAAGATTACAAGGATAGCAGCAGATAGCCTACAGCCGGAGACGGCTCTATGATCACACCGCTTCGCCATAAAAAGCAGGTTAGTCCAGTAGACTTTTCGGAGTGATTATGATGCCTGTGAACCGCCACGCGAGAGCAAAACCTGCAACAACTGTCGAAAGCTCGCAACAGCGTGAAAAACGAATAAGTAGTATATTATGGACAGTTATTTAAAGTTTGAAAATCATGTAATTAATGTCGTAAAAAGTTGTTTTTTCCGATTAAAAGTTTTATATTCAATTAGGCAGTTTATCACTGTAGACTTACGTGTAAAACTATGTGAAACCTTAGTTCTCTCTAAACTAAATTATTGTATAACTTTGTATGGACCTTGTCTATTTAAAAAATCAAAAAATTTAATTCAAAGGGTACAAAATGCTTGCGCTCGTTACTGTTTTTACATCCCAAGACGAACACATGTTACACCTTACCTTAATGCCTCTAATATGCTTAAAATGCAGGAACGTCTCAAATTATTTTATGCCTCCCTGCTATTTGGAGTGATAAAAACAAAGAAACCAGAATACCTATATGAAAAGCTTCAGTGGAGACAAAATCAACATATGTACGGTATTAGAAAGTGTGCAAAAGTACTTTGTATACCTCAACATAGGACATCAGCATTTCGTGGTAGTTACAAATTTATGGCCACAAAATGTTGGAATGATCTTCCATCACCATTACGAGTCATAACAAATAAGAACAGTTTTAAGAGAAAATACAAAGAGTATTTATTAAATACGCAGAAAATGTCATAAATATAAAAAAAAAATTCGGCTGGGGCTGAGTATCCCATATTTAGTTATATTCAATTATGTAACTTACATTTACTACCAATATTCTTTTTAATAACCATTACGATGTTCAAGCATAATTATTATAATTAGTCTGAATAAATAAAACACTACTGTAGCTCTTACTTTTAATATTGTTATTTTTTTTTCATATGTTTTTGTTTATATTTCGTTTATATTTTGTTTATATTATGTTTACCTTTTGTACATGAATATTAATTATCAATTTATTAATAGAAATAATATGAAAACTTGTACTGGTTAATTAAATAGTTCTTGTACTGACTGAATGAATAAATAAATAATTTAACACTAAAAGCTATTTGTAATATAATCAGTGATGTACGCGTACTGTTATACTTTAGCTCACTAAGTAGGTATATGGGTGCTGACAGAATAACAGCGTTGTAGATTCTCTGCAACACATGCCGAGTCAGAACCCTTTCATTGTCCTTCTAAAAATATCATTTTTGTATTAGTTTAACTTTTAAATATTTTATTACTTTTGGTCAATGAATAAATATTTTTATTATTATTATTATATTCAAATACATAAAATTTTGTTTCAAGATTACTTAGACTGCATAGTGTCATAAGCTATCTATGATGGATGGTGTTAGATACTTTGACCTATATCGTGTCAGATGTTGCAAAACCAGACTAAATCTTATAACTATAAAATCTTACTAAATAATCGTATCAATAAATGAATCATATTTATAAAGGTAAAGCAATATATACCAGTATCGGGGCCGCCGTCTTTAGAGCGAAACTGTTGTAACTTCCGCTCGAGCTTCTGCTGGCGTCGCCTTCGCATCACCGCCTCCGGGTTGCTGATGCTGCGCGTGAACGACGTCTCCGGTAATTCTAGTCAAACATGCATAAAATAAAGTGACCGACCATTTCATTTCTTACCATGTGTTTATTACACGAGAAATTAATGTAAATAACTCATTTAATCTAATAAGTAGGGGTTATTCAAAATGAACTTAGCATCACCTGTTGGAGGTAAAGCAGGTAATGCATTGTTGAAGCTGGTTTGTATCCACACGGAACAAGTATCAGTACGGCCAAGGTTTTTCTTTGCAATTTATGTAGGTAAAACTAGAAGTTACAACTAGGAGAATTTCCTAGTAGAGGTAACATTCTTTAAAAAATATAATAATTGGTGATAAGTAAGATGTGTAAGACGTGAGGAACATTCTTAATAAGACAACTTGTGTGATTGAATACAAACATTTCGAAGGCGCAAACAGTAACAATGTTATTCCAAGTGGAAAGTGTAGATGCTAAGTGGACAAAATTGTGCTAATTTCTTGGTAAGTTAAAGAACAGATACACAATCATTAGAAATGTTTGTAGTGCATGCAGTGCATTAGCTGAATATTGTTTAAAACAGAGTATGCGTCACTGTTTACATTAGCGCTAATTATAGTAGAAGTACATCGATCACTAATTACAAATTGCTTCTTTATATAATTAAGGGTGACAAACAAGCAGATGGTTCACCTGATGGTAAACGATACCATGGTCCACTCACACCTCTTTATCAGTTAATCACACTCTCATAGATGTATTTTGTTATATAGGAGCGTGGCCTTCCCGGACGAGCCGACCATTCAAGCTGCGACCATAATATACCTCCAGCATGGCTCTATCACATAAAAATTTACCTAACGCCTTTTATTCTATTTATTAACACCAGGCTAGAGGGGAACTAATCCCGAGGTTTATATCCCAATCAGGGCCAGAATTTGTACAGTAAGTGCTCCCGGCGTGGGAGATGTTTAGCCCTGTATGCAGCGACTTCCGGACATATCAGCAATACGTGGGCCACCGTATCTTCCTCCCCCATACATGCCGTGCACAGGGGACTATCTGTAACACCTATGGTGCGACAGAAGGAAACAAATCAGGAGATGGACAGCAGCGTCTTTCTATTAACGACTAAAATAAAAAACTGCGGTAGTCAACCCGCTTGCCAAGCGTGGCAACTATGGCAATATCGCCCCTATGAGGCAATCTAAATAAAATAGGGGAAGCCTATGCTCAGCAGTTGACTTTGATAGGCTATAGCAGATGTAATTTATTTATTTATTTATCTTATCTATGTAGTTACTTATATACCATTATATATTTTTATTTTATGGCTTTAATAAAAATAACGTTATTTTGTCTGTCCATCCAAAGGTTGTCTGGAAGAGATCGCCCATTGTACCACATTTCTTTTTCTCATTTTTTGTTAATATTTTTGTTATTTTTTGGTGTACAATAGTGTTATCTATCTATGTAACGGGCGGACGGATATTTTTAAGTTACAAGTCAATTTTACATCAATATTCATTTAGTGCATCAATGTTGATTTAAAGGTTAAAATTTGGTATATTATAATAATGCCTACCTTAAACATTTCCTATTTACTATGAGAGGTAATATTAAAATTAAAAAAATTCTCTTCCTGTGTACCTAAACAACAACGGTAAGATGACGCAGGAGGAGTGTGGTGGGTGGAGTGATGAGCAGTGTATAGAATCAATCTTGAAAACAATAAAGTTAAAAATGAACCTGTGTAAAGTTTCTCAGCGATAGGTCTGTTTTCATCATTTGTGTCGGATTTCAGTCTGGATAGTTTTTCTTTCTTCTTTAATTCCTTTTTTTCTCGTTTCGATAGTTTCCTTTTAAAGTTCTGATCCGCTTTTTCGATGCCGGAAGACAAAGGAACCTGCGAAATATAGAAAATAGATATAAAGTTGTATAAGGCCTTACTAAATTTAGTCTGGTTTTAGTCAAAATTGCTTATTCCAATAAACAATATTTTTAATTTCAATTTTAAGTGTCAATTTATATTGTACTGGGTGTTATAGATAAAATCATAAAGAAAAAAGAATGCCTGAAAAATTTAGAGGATAGAAAATCTTTTGAGGACATGGGAAGTACGCTAATACGCTTTAGATTTATATGTGGTTGAGCCACGCTGCATATATTATATTATATTTATAATATAATATATGCATGCTATAACACGAATGGAATTAGCTCCACCGGGGAGGACCACGCACTCACAAAATACCAGCGCAAAATAGCAGCTCAATGCTTCTGTATTTCGCATGGTGAGTGTAGAGAACCGGAGACCCTTTTTATTGGAAACGAGGCATTCCTACTTAGACCTAAGAGGTGACAACTGCATATTGATTCTTATCGAGGATAAATGTAAATGTCTAAGAACCACAGTATCTACTTACCATCAGGTGGACTGTGTGCTTGTGTGTCACCCTTATGGTATTAGAAAAAATAGGGTAGCGCAGCAGACTTTTTCCTTCCTTAAAAACTCTCCAACTCTAAGGTAGAGAAGAGGCCTTTGCTTAGCAGCGGAACGTAACTGACCTAAATATCGGTTACGATTGTGCACAAAAAACAAAAAGATCTTGTATTGTGATGTCTACGTGAGCCTGACAATACATTCAACCCCGCCTCCGAATTTGTTGCGTAAGCAATATATCAGACATGGACAGGTAAAGATACACCTGTGTTTGAGGGTACACTTTTCGCTGATAATTGTATAACAATATTCGGATGATGACTCCGTGGTTAAAAGACTTGAAGAATACCACTTTCCCTACTTAAACAAAAATAATAAAATATTGAAGCACGAACCTCGTTGTTGGTGAGACATTTGAGCAAGAAACGCCCCTCACGATCGTCGGTGTGCCAATTGAGTTGCACGAGCAGCGGTTTCTCGTGCGGCTCGAGACGCCGCTCGTAGTCCGGCCCGTGCGTCTCCCAAAGAGAATAAGAGCCCAGCGATAACATGCGCATGTCCGGACGGAACTTCTCGATCAGCGTCTCTGTTCGCAAAATAATTATTTCGTTTAGTTCAAAGGTTCAAACATACGCACCCTGCAATGGTATTTCTATTATTATATTTTGCGTAATAATAAAAGATAAGCAAAATAGTTTAATAATATTTATTTTTGTCACTAACACAATAATTTAACATTGTCGAATTCAATATTAATTTTCGGAGCCAAACGCCTTCCAACTGAAAGTTGATCCATGATCTAACGACTTCCATAATAAAAACTAACTCTAGCACTTTATCCACTTTTATCTAGAAATTAACTCAAGTTTTTATGTAGTAGTTTAAAATTATCAATGACCTAAAATACGCCAATATACAACTGATAAACAAAGCGAAACGCACAGTAATCGATTTTATTGCATGCAGTACCGGTGATTATAACACGGTACTCGCAGATTTAGCTCGTGGATCCTTAACAACTTCAATAAATAGCCTATAAGGAATTTTGTCATCAATTACGGAAGTACGGAATTTGAGGTTGAAATCTACGGAATTTTTAAAAACTTAACAAGAAAACCATTTTTTATCATGAGTGTTAGGTTAGCCGACAATGTCATTCTCTCTCTCTTCTATGCTGTCTTTATTTAAAAAAAAACATTATTGCTTATAAATATCACACTTTTGGTGAGGTTAATCGATTTCAAATTTCAATTGTGTAAATATTTTGCATTAAATTACGTTCATTTCGAATTTCGAACACTTCTTGGAAAATAGGCAGTTAATATAAACGCTTATAATATTTTCACAGATGATTGAATTGTTACTTATGTCTCAAATTTTTCAAATCCAGGCTGTACCAATTGTTTCTACTAAAAATAATTTAATTAAAAGAAAACAATTAATTTTAAATTAATTTTATGGTACTTTTTTCTTGTATATTAGCTTGATCCGATGTTATACTACAATTGAACTTACAAGAATTTTACATGACAAAAAATTGATCTATTCTATGACAAAAACAAAAATTTTCCATCCTCTTTAGAAATCTACAGATATACGGATATTTTGAAATAGCATCTACGGAATCCTATGGAATTTTTTATACCAATCTACGGATTTGGAAAAATTCGAGTTGGCAACACTGCGCTACAGAAGAGAACATTAAGTCGAACTTACATAAATACTTCATTGAATTTTAACAAAATGTAAAAGACGCTAATAATAACCGTCAGTAACTTCATTAGTAGGAATTAATTATTAATACTCTATATCCCTATCTCTCTGATATAGCATAATACACTGAATATGATCAAAACATAACAAAAGTCATACCTATAACGTCGCTGACTGTAGCATCGGAGGCGACGCGGATGCATTTCGTCGCAATCTTTTGGCCCGAATCTTGGAAGTAGAACCGCATCACCCCATGAAACTCTAAGTTCTGTAACGAAGTTATTATATTTTACTAGATGAAAAAAACAAGCGAATTATTAGAAGATTCATCCATAATTAAGATGCTGCTGCCCATCTCTTACGACACTCGCGTGATGATATGGGATAGTGGATATTAAATAAAACTATGTTTACGGATTTTATCGCGTTTAATTTACTTATTTTAATTCCCGACGTTTCGGGTGACCATAGCTGACCCATGGTCACCGGGGGGACTGAGATGTTTGACGCCCCGATGTCTGATTTTGTTTCCGATTGAATTAGATCCGGTTGTGATTTTGTTATCGATGTTTGACTCAAAAACTGAAGGTAGCCAGGCTTAAACATAGTTTTATTCAACGTGTAGTGTTCGCGTAAATATAAAAAATCGTTATAGGATTTTTTTATAGGATAAGGGTGACAAACGAGCACACAGTCCACCCGATGGTAAATGGTTGCTGCGGCCCATAGACATCTACATCTATCCTCTATTACAAATCAAAATGCAGTTGCGTTGTCACCCGTGAGGACTAAGATGGAATGCCTCATTTCCAGTAAAAAGGGTCTCCGGTCTCTACACTCACCATACGAAACACAGCAGCGTTAAGCTGCCATTTTACGCTGGTATTCTGTTTGGCATATAATGCGATGGCTATTCCGCTACAAGTTAGAAACCATGCAATATTCTTGGTATTTCTTTTGGTCGACTCTTGCATGATCCGGGGGATGTTTATGTTTACGAACTAAAAACTAGATAAAGTAATTGAATACACACCTACATGAAATTTAATTACGTGTACGCAATTAGAGAGGTAGGAGTCTCACCAGAAAAGTAAAGTAAAGAAGAATATTCATGTCTTTAATATAAAAGATTTTTAAGAATGGTATTACGAAAACTTTGCGTTGTAAACCATTTTCGCTGCTCACAATTTGGTACATTTTCCACCGTTTAAAAAATATGGCTTACCAGTTGAAAGTTTACAAGTTGTTAATTTTTAGACTACGATTACTATTGTAATGCAAAATAATCACCGAGCTGCTTCAGTGCGTGACGTGCGTGCGAGACAGACTTCATGAGTCCTCGAAATATTTTAAATTCTTTACACTTGCACAATAAAATATTTCCAGAACACGTACTTAATCAGCACTTAAATTGTGCTAACAACTCGACTAGGCATGTCAGTCTGTCCCTGCCCTAACATTGCGGGAAAATACTTAATTTAATAACCAGAGCTAATTGCATACTTTTTATAATATTCGTAAAATAGTTTTTTTCTTTATATTATTACTTCTGAGACTAAGTTTTTTCGGACGATCAACAAAGTTTTGCAAAAACATACTCATGCAAGTATTAAAAAAAAACCTCTTCTTAAAATAAGTATACTAGAGTATAATATAACATTTAATGCCCACACCTAACCTACACCTTTAACTTTACTGTTATCAGTTATGCCTGAACACACGGAAATATTTATCTAAAGCGCATTCTTTAAGAGATAACAATCGTTCACAAAGCATTATAGAGCAACATAAAACAGACTGTTCAGAAAGAATAGTCTTTACAACACACGGGAAATAAACGTAAGCTGAATAATTAAACTTCAAAAAAATAATAATAACGTGGCTTTAATTTTTCGATACCCTTACTACCTACAACTTAGCACCGACTACCGAAGCTATTAAATGATTTTATTCTTATTAGTTTTGATGTGTTTTTTAAGTTTAATTTGTTGACCCTTTTGAGTAAACTAAGCAATGTCATAAACTCAAGGAAACGAATAGTATAATCCTCTAAATATTATAATTATAAAGGACAATGGAATTTTTGGGGCTGAATTTAACTAATTGGTTTATTGCATGCCTTAAGCGCAAAGCGCGTAGGTATGTTCTACTAGCGCCTAAAAAATCAAGATTTCAATGTTTTGTCGCATAAAAAGGTATCTAACAACCATATTGAACATTGTCAGAAAGATAAATGATTGTTGAAATTATTAATATTTTTTTAACTGATTAATTGCTATTTTTACATATAAAAAAGTGGTTTTAGTGGCTTATGGTGTAGATTTATCAAGTCCGTATTGAGTGGTAAAGATGATAACTTTTGAAAATATCAATTGTTTAACTCAATCTATTTTTTAATCTCTGCATTTAGCACGTGGGAAGCCATGGAATGTAAATGGCGGTTTAATTTTCTTTTGTTTAGATATAATTACTATTTTTCGGCTTAGAAATCCCGACATTTTCGTTGGTTTGAGCAGTCTTGTAATTTATTTTACTAAATAGACTGCCTCTCTCACTCACTTCGGCTTCAGCTGCCGTCGCGAATGAATACTTGTATCGGTTGTTTGCAGGGGCTCAAAAAGATCGCTACACAAATACAAAATATTCGAAAAACCAAATTTTATACATACTTGAATATTATAATAAGATTTTTATTACAATATTTTAAAAGCACAGATTAAATAATAGTAGTACGTACTAAAAGTAAATAAGATGTATATGTATATTTATACTCAAATACGTCTTGGACTTTATGGAGTGACCTGAATGATGATATAGTGATCATATGAGCATTATGAGTCATGAACTTTTGGATTGACCAAATTTTTTTTAAATTGAAGTTTGATATAAAATTATTGGTAAATTGGAAGTATAATAAGGTTATTAGTAAAAACTTGTATGTATTTAAACTACTTTAAAAAATTCCTTACAATCATGTTATACGTAATTTTTTTAATGCGCTTAGGGCATGCACAATCGGATATACCAATAGTTTTTACTTTAAACAAATGGCTACATTTTTCTTAAGTAAAATACAAAAAAGTTGCTCTTTTTACAATCTAGACTTCGAAAAAACAATAAAATAAGAAATAAGTTCGAAAATCGATTGTATGAATACAATTGATAATAATTTATTTAAACGGATTCAAAAACTAAAATGACAATCCTTGCAAGGTTTCATTAAAATTCTATTATTTACTCTGAATGATAGATTAATTTGTAATAAAATATATTATTCGCTTAGGATAAAAAGAAGAAAAACATTTTATGGCAATAAATTGTTTACCTTATGGAGTATTCTAGTAGGGAAATTCTCGTTTCTGAACGTTACCTATGGTTTTTTTTATAGGAAAGATGACAAACGAGCACACAGCCCACCTGATGGTAAGTGGTTGCTGTGGCCCATAGACATCTACATCTATCCTCGTTTACGAATCAAAATGCTGATGCGTTGACACCTTGTGAGGACTAAGATGAAATGCCTCTTTTCCAGTAAAAAGGGTCTCCGGTTCTTTACACTCACCATACGAAACACAGCAGTGTTAAACTGCTATTTTACGCTGGTATTCTGTGAGAGCGTGGTCCTTCCCCGGTCGAGCCGACCCATTCGTGCTACAACTATACCAGTAATATAGCTGCCGCATGGCTCTACCACGTACTTCTCATTAGTTTGTATTTTCACTACCCATCAAGTGGGATGCGGGAAGTAAAGACTGTGTTCTTAACCTCCGAAGGAGACGGTCTTACAGCCGAAATAAAATTTTTGTTTTTTGGTTTATGGCCATTTTGACCCCCTAGGAGAGTAATGAGAACTTTTTGCCCCTATTCAACCATGACCCCCATGGCGTCCTCTACATGATAGGCTATTCAAACTGACTAGGCCTAAAGTTCGAGTCACCCCCCCCAACTCATTTCTAAAGTCTTTACTTCCAATTACTTCCAACTACCAATAAATTCTCATTTTGAAACTTGACTTTACAGTTCAAACTTAAAACTATTCACTTAAAAGAAAAAGATAATTTTCAAATCGATTTGAAGCGAGTGCAATATAATCGATTCTCAATAAAATTGAGAATTTTAATATCTATTTTTGTTTATTTCTGTGTTAACTAGGGAGGAAAAAAACAATCGCGAAAATATCTACAAACGAATAATACTAAATATCAACATTCCAACAAATAACAGTAACAAGAACAATTCAAGTAATCGATCTCAGATAGATATGCCTAATATTCACTTCACTTAGTTGTTGTTGTTTTAACTTTCGTTAATCATTTTACCATTTTGTTTCCTTATTAACCACAGTTTTTCTTTAGTGATTTTATACTGATCCTGCTTTTATATTTTTAAGTAATTATAGTGAGAAATAGCCTGTTACATTTAATTACCGGAAAAAATCACCTGTTACAGTGTAGGTAATACACAACCTCTTATTCTACAATAGCTCAGCTCCTAGATTGACAAATCTTGCCAGATGTTTAGCTATGAATTCATTATATTTACGCTTTCAAATGGCCCTCAACTTGTTAACACCTGGGCCCAAGAATGTGTGGAGACGTCTCCTTCTCCTATCAGTTATCTTATTTTCTAGTAGGGCTGGAAATTTTTCTTCAAATATTAATGGGACTACCCTTGTTGCATATTAAATAACATATTAAATTATTTTTATATTTCATTAATTTGGTTTTAAATTATATATTTTGTAGACTGTTTAGTAAAAACAAGAATCAATAATATCGGTTTATAATAAGAGCTAATAATTTTCTGCTCACCAGATGTCGCTAGTTGACACTGAGGTAAAGTTTTTTGTTACACAATGTCATTTAATTGTGAAGTTAGTTTTTGATACAACTTTATCACTTTCTAATACACAAAACAATGAGTCAGTTTTTTTTTAATTTGTCTACTTTTATGAACATCTATGGTTTGGTTTATTTATTTTTATTCTTATTAATATAAAATATAAGTAATAGTACAGAAAGAAACATTAACCTTTACATTTTCCGAAAGTTAACGCGTAACATACATACTCGCACAAACAAAAGAAATACAGTAAAATGGAGCCTCGTTTTTGCTAAAATAGTTGTAATGCGAATCTGTGGTACCAATATTTTTATGCAATAATCTTAAATACAAGCAAGGACTCTTGAAGTAAGAGTTTAATCGCACGCGGAAAATGTGCAATGCCCTTTGTTTTGTAAATAGGATACAGCATTACCGACTAAAACAAAAGTAACAGAACAAACATTCTTATGTATGTGAGATGTGTACAATGTTAATATATCAAATTACATTAAAAAGTTAATAAAGAAGAATATTAGCGTGTTACTTTGAAACGTTTCATTTAGCCGTGTTCATCGAAAGCAACAAATAATTACTCAAAGTAAAAATAAAAAATTGGCTGTGTTCTTAAATAATTATAAAGCTACTTGGCGAAATCCATTTTGTTTCAGATTGTATGGCTCCTGCTCTCCTAATTACCGCGTGCTGCGTGCTCAGCAAACCTAGCTGTGATCGTGGCCTATATAGTTTAGAAAATGACTAGAAATGACTTAGAAAATTACGTAAAATATTAAATAAGACGAAGACGATTAGAGACAGCTATTTGACATTAAGAGTATTTCAATCAAGTTTTATTATAGTTTAGAATCGTAAACTTAAATTACATATTATTTTGCAAATAGGTACATAGAATAGTTAAAAAAAACTAATGTATCTTTATAAATTAATGAAAAAATGCTAGAATTTTAGCTTTGAAATTCTACAGTCATATTATGGCGCGTCTCCACCAAAGTTTTGTTGTCAACACAAAATTTGTCAACAAAACTTGTTTTTTTCGGCGGCAACATCAAAGGAATACGCTTGTTGCCAACATTTGTTCCCTCGGTGGAGACGCTTGTTGACAGAAATAATTGTTGACAAAACGTGTTGGCAAATGTGTTGACAACAAAACTTTAGTGGAGACGCGCCATTAAGCAAGAGGTCATCCACTTCTGCATAATTGCAGGTAGTGTATCTCTAAATACAAAGGTGACAATGCATCAGCATCCATTTTAGGGTTGCAGGTGTCTATGGACTGCACTTTCATCAAATAGACTGTTAGCTTCGTTCTGATATTAACTTTGTAAAAAAAAAATTAAGTACTTTAAATTTAATTTTACGAGTTTAAGAGAGAGAGAGTGTCCTGACCTTCAAGCACTATTTTTCATATTTAAGTTTAATTACGCTGTTATTTTGTTTCTAAATAACGTATAGAAACTTCTTCGATAAGTTTAAATATGAGTAAAACTTGCCTCGTTGGGTTCGCTGAGCTCGAATAGGTCAAGTCGGTTGGCGTTCCACTGCTGGATCATGTTGCGCAGCACCTCGCGCTCCAGCATGCGCTTGTCGCGGTCCGCCTCCATCTTGTCACCTCATCAAGTCTGCAGCCTGAAATGTGTACAATTTACTTTAAGAAAAAAAAAGAAATCTGCGCGCATCATGTTAGTATGTAATAACGATAAAGATTTAAAAGAATTCATACAGTTCAAAGAATTTTTATACGTGGTAGAGCCATGCTGCAGCTATATTACTGGTATAGTTGTAGCACGAATGGGTCGGCTCGACTGTGGAAGGACCACGCTCTCACAGAATACCAGCGTGAAATAACAGCTTTACGCTGCTGTGTTTCGTAAGGTGAGTACAGACAACCGAGTAGTATAGACAAAATATTTACTGGAAACGAGGAATTCCATCTTAGTACTCACGGATGACAACGCGTCTGCATTTTGATTCGTAATTGAGGATAGATGTAGATGTCTATGGGCCACAGCAACCACTTACCAACAGGTGAACTGTGTGCTCGTTTGTCACCCTTATTCTATTAAAAAAAGTTAATTTCACCAAGGCAATAAGTTAATGCTGATTGCATGTGACACCGGGTTTAGATATAAGAAAAATTATAAACCAATGCCACTAGAATTCTTTGTGTTTTATTACGACAGGTAAATAAAGCTTCAACTTTACGCAAGTGAAGCCATGAACAAATCCACTTATAGCGTAAAGGTAAGAAAACCTATGCAGGTAATGTATTAGTTAATATAAAGATATTAAATACAAGAATAACAATAATAATATTTACATACATCATATAATACACATTAGTATTATAAAGTAGGTTAACCAAAACCTGAAAAAAGTGAGAAGTAAGCAAGAACAAGGACCGCCACCGAGTACCGTGGTAGCTCAGGGGCTCTTCGTAAATTTCACAGTATGTGAGTTGTTAATTGCATTTTTAAATGCCGATTCACTACGTACTCGGTGATGAAGGAAAACATCGTGAGGAAACCAGTACGTCTAAGAAATTGCTATTTTTCTAAAACTGCATACAACCACGCAATGGGTAAACCTCTCAGAAATAGGAGGAGGCCTGAGGCTGATTATATACGTCCTACACCTGGCGTATGTAACAGTCGGTAACTTTAAACAAGAACCTAAAAACAACATTTCCAAAAGCTTAATTTTTTAGGAAACGGTGCCCGAAGACAAATTTTAGATGAACAATACCAACTATTAAGCTTGCATGTTATTCTTAACAAAACGAATACGAATTGTTTAGTTTAAATTCGACCTATGGAATTGGAATTTTGTATGCAAAAATTAAAATATTTTTGTACGAAAAAAAACTTACAACACTATTATTTACTACTAGCTGTTCCCCGCGACTTCGCCCGCGTGTAATTTAGGGATTTAAATGTTTTGCTCGGAACCCTAATTCTTTTTCTAAAATAAAAGTAGCCTAAGTTACTCCTTGTAACATCAGCTATCTGGCAATCCCGTCAAAATCGGTTCATCCATTTTGGAGATTAGCCGGAACAAACAGACAAATATTTTAAAAATTGCATTTTTATTATAAGTATCGTATATACTTTCATATGCTTGCGGTAAAAGCTGTTATTTTGAGATTACAAACAGACACTTCATTTTTATTTATTTGTATAGACATTCTTGCCATTTTATGGGCAGTTTGTTAATGTAATTGCTGTAGAAGTCTGCCGCACGAGAATCGATGAACTCTAATACATTCTTAACTGAACGTTTTTTTTGAAAGTGTCCGAATTTGGGATTTATCAAACCTTTAAAAATTCGTAACTCCGAAAATATTAACTTTATCCTAACAATCAACCTTTTTTATTCGCATTTCATCAAAAAAATATAAAAAATTGTCCCGTTTAAAAATAACAATTTCTTGCAATTGACAAAATATATCGGTTTAAACAATATGGCATGGAGTTGCCCCATGGCAAATGAATTTATATCATCAGTAGGGAACTGAACAGAATCGCATAAAAAATGAGGTGGAATAGTTTTCTGTACTTTCAGTACGGTACTATGCGCCGATTACTCCGGGACTAATATGCCTACTGATGCGTCGTCGCTTAAATATTCATTAATTGAGTAGTAACTATTAACATTTCTCAATTACAATTGTTTTTAATTTTTGTTAAGTTTATGAATATTTTCCATTTTATGAAACATAAATGAAACTTTATTCTAGATTTTAGATAATATACCGAAAACGCTTTCTCTAAGTAAAGCTGTCTTTGATGAAATTGTACTTTTATTAATTTTATTTTTACGTCGATTGTGTTATTAAGTAAACATTAAATATTTCAGGATTAATTTTTACACTGCAGCGTTAAGCTGCTGTGTTACGCTAGTATTCTGTGAGAGCGTGGTAATTCCCCGGCCGAGCCGACCCATTCGTGCTACAACTATACTACTGATATACGAGTAGCTGCAGCTTACACGCATTAATAAAGTTTTTACAAACGTCACAACTAATATGTTATCTAAACTTTGAAAGAAGTGGAAATCTGTTGACACACCGTTACCGTCGCAGTCTATTAAAATTCACAGACGCGTTGTTACCCGTGAGGACTAAGATGGAATGCCTCTTTTCCAGTAAAAAGGGTCTCTGGTTCTCTACACTCACCATACGAAACACAGCAGTGTTAAATTGCTATTTAACGCTGGTATTCTGTGAGAGCGTGGTCTCTCCTCGGTGGAGCTGACCCATTCGTGTTTCGTCATTTTGACATGGAGTGAGCATTGCATTTTACATAAACGTTAAGGGATGGAAAAAGTATTCATGCGTTGGAAATCCAAAATGCTGACCGCTATGCAGAAACACAAAAGACTATAATAGTCTTTTTGGGTAGAATTCCGTTCTAGGGACACCTCCGATTTGGACCAAATTTTTTTTACATGTTTACCAACATAAATGGTGAATAACCCCAAAGGGATTTTTGGCGCAAATGCCCCTAAAAATTTTTACGAGGGTTTGAAGTTTTAGATTTTTAAGGCAGTTTTTCATGATAAATCGACTAAACCCCACTTTTTTACACAGGAATACTGACCCAAAGTTACTTACTACTACTTACTATTATAATATACTGTGTTTTATTTCTGAATTGTTTAAAACTGCTCAGAAATACTTGAACACTCAGAAATACTTTCAGTTATAATAGGTTAGAAGGTTCTGGAGGGAGCGAAGGCAACCCGACTTTATAGATAAGATATCTAATCTGATCGAATCTTCACTAAAATAGAATCAGCACGCCCCGACTCCACGTAGTCTTGTCTGTCCTAATTCTAGTGTTTTTGTAAAGCCGTAGGCGCGGAGGGAGAGCAGCTCCCGCCGCATTCCACCTTATGCTAAGTGGTTGCTGTGGCCCATAGACATCTACATCTATCTTCGATTACGAATCAAAATGCAGATGCGTTGGCAACCGTGAGGACTAAGATGGAATGTCTCGTTTCCAGTAAAAAGTGTCTCCGGTTCTCTACACTCACCATACGAAACACAGAAGCTTTAAGCTGCTATTTTACGCTGGTATTCTGTGAAAGCGTGGTCGTTGCGTAGCGAATCACAGTAGCAAGTCCTGTGATTCGCTACGCAAGGGCGAAGGGGCTGCAATTCCCGCAGCGCCAAAGCCGTTGTAGAGTAACTTTGGGTCAATATTCCTGTGTAAAAAAGTGAGGTTTAGTCGATTTATCATGAAAAACTGCCTTAAAAATCTCTTCAAACCCTCGTAAAAATTTTCAGGGGCATTTGCACCAAAAATCCCTTTGGGGTATTTCATCATTTATGTTGGTAAACATGTAAAAAACTTTGGTCCAAATCGGAGGTGTCCCTAGAACGGAACTATATCCGTCTTTTTAAGCAAAAAAAGTTTGAAAAGACTATAATAGTTTCTTTAAGCAAAAAATACTATAATAGTTTTTTTTATTTCTGCACAGCGTATGTTATAATATTTCCCGAGGCTTTATGGAACTGTTGCAACAAGATCCTAATCGTTTTTGAGTCAATTTATAACAATAAACGAAACTTTACTGCACCATTACTATTCCAAAACCAAATTACAGTATATAGACTTGGAAAAAAATACATCACCTACTGTTGCGGGCACTTTGAAGGCAAAGCAAATGAAAAATTGCGTAACGAAACCCACGAGAAACTGCGATGCAAACTCGCAAAGATTATTATTTATTCCTTGATAACGTCTCATAAGTCACTGCTCTGGCTGCAATCACGATGCTGGCTTCGAAATACTTCAGTATCCTCCATATTCATCGGATCTTGCACATTGTGATTTCTATCTGCTTTCGAGATTGTAAGAGTATATGAGAGAACAAAGAAAAAGACGATGAAGCAGTAGTCGCTACAGTACATAATTTTTTTAAGTAGGGATTAGACATTTCAAGTGTATTACACAGGAGGTGACTAGATCGAAAAATAAAATAATATTTAAGAAAATTTGACCTGTAACATTACTCATTCACACTTCTTATTAAACTCTAGAAGTGTACGCATACCTACGCATTAACAAAAAACTGGGGCGATCGAGATTTGATAGTAAGTAATAAAATCGTTTTCGAAGAAGGTAGCAACGTTTCCACCATAATTTCAATTTTAACATTCTTAGGACAAATTGTTTCGTAGAAAGGGAATTTTTGCATATAACTAAAATAGACAGTTGGCTGTACATAACACATTTTATTTGTCCCGGGTTAATAAGAGCAATCTAGTATACTCGTGACCGAATGTACCTTGATGTCTAAAAAAAGTTGGTCTAATACCGTGTCATCATAGCTAATGGCGCTGTTTCTTCTGCCAATAACTTAGTTCCCGCCATGGTTTCCGCTTCGATCTGATTCGACACGTTTTATTTTATCAGACATCTCGCAACATTAGCGCTACTCCCTGATATTACATATTAGTATTGCCGGTTTATATTGCAATGGAGTAATAATGCCTTGTTTAAAAAGGGTGTCGGATGCTCTACACTCACCATACGAAACAGCAGCATTAAGCTGCTATTTTACGCTCGTGTTCTGAGGAGTCCTTTCCCACTCGAGTCGA